GCCATGTTCCGCGCCTCCATTGTGGAGGCGGCTGACCGGAGCTGTGGCCGTAAGGTGGTCGGTGTTTGTCGCGGCGGCAATCCCTGAACCTGCTGGTGGACACCGGCGGTGAGGGATGCCATCAAGCTGAAGAAGGAGTCCTATCGGGCTTTTTTGGCCTGTGGGACTCCGGAAGCAGCTGATGAGTACCGGCGGGCCAAGCGGAACGCGGCTTCAGCGGTCGCTGAGGCAAAAACTCGGGTATGGGAGGAGTCTGGCGAAACCATGGAGAACGACTTCTGGACGGCTTCGAGGAGATTCTGGTTTACCATCCGACATCTCAGGGCGGGAAAACGGTGCAGCATCAACACTGTTTATGGTGGGGATGCTGCGCTGCTGACCTTAGCTCGGGACGTTGTAGGTCGGTGGAAGGAATACTTCGAAGACCTCCTCAATCCCACCGACACGCCTTCCAATGAGGAAGTGGAGTCTGGGGACTTGGGGGTGGACTCGCCTATCTCTGGGGCAGAGGTCGCTGTGGTGGTTAAAAAGCTCCTCGGTGGCCGGGCCCCTTGAGGAACTGCCCGGAGTTCCTCAAGGCTCTGGATGTTGCAGGGCTGTCTTAGTTGACACGCATCTGCGGCATTGAGTGGACATTGGAGGCGGTGCCTCTGGATTTGCAGACCGGGGTGGTGGTCCCCATCTTCAAGAAGGGGGACCGGAGGGTGTGTTCCAACTATAGGGGGATCACACTCCTCAGCCTCCCTGGTAAGGTCTATTCGAGGGTGCTGGAGAGGAGAGTCCATCGGATTCAGTTGAACCTCGGTTTCAGGAGGAGCAGTGTGGTTTTCGCCCTGGCCGTGGAACAGTGGACCAGCTCTATACTCTCGGCAGGGTCCTGGAGGGTGCGTGGGAGTTTGCCCAACCAGTCTACATGTGCTTTGTGGACTTGGAGAAGGCATTAGACTGCGTCCCTCGGGGAGTCCTGTGGGGAGTGCTCCGGGAGTATGGGGTGCCGGACTGCCTTATAAGGGCTGTTCGTCCCTGTACAACCAGGACAGCTTGGTCTGCATTGCCGGCAGAAGTCAGACTTGTTCCCGGTGAGGGTAGGACTCCACCAGGACTGCCCTTTATCACCAATTCTGTTCATAACCTTTATGGACAGAATTTCTAGGCGCAGCCAGGGTGTTGAGGGTGTCCGGTTTGGTGACCTCAGGATTAGGTCTATGCTTTTTGCAGATGATGTGGTTCTGTTGGCCTCATCAGACCGTGACCTTTGGCTCTCACTGGAACAGTTCGCAGCCGAGTGTGAAGCGGCTGGAATTAAAATCAGCACTTCCAAATCCGAGACCATGGTCCTCGAGAGTAGAGCCGCTGCTCCTCCGCATTGAGAGGAGCCAGATGAGGTGGCTCGGGCATCTGATTAGGATGCCTCCTGGATGCCTCCCTGGTGAGGTGTTCCAGGCATGTCCCACTGGGAGGAGACCCCGGGGAAGACCCAGAACACGCTGGAGGGACTATGTCTCTCGGCTGGCCTGGGAACACCTCGGGATTCCCCCAGAGGAGCTGGAGGAAGTGGCCATAGAGAGGGAAGTCTGGGTTTCCCTGCTGAGACTGCTGCCCCCGCGACCCAACCTCGGATAAGCGGTTGGGTTAATGTTAATGGATGGATGGATGGAACATACATTTGCATTTACAAAATGGTTTCCCAATGCATATGTTCATAAAGTATATCTGCAAGCGGGGTTGTATGTGTACCATTACTGGCTTATAATAATGTAGTAGGAGACAAAAATGCCACGACTGTAACTACAATCATGCACACATACACCAGAGACATGGCTGACAGCTGCTCTCACTTGTTTACGAGAACTGGATGTCTGACATAAGCCAATATTACCATCCAGGTTTGTTCTAAGTAAGGGTTTAATTACAGCTGTGTTAAGAACATATCCAAAAGATAGAGTTGAATTTATGATGTCTACTGTGGACTTTACAGTTTTAAGTGGATACTTCTTCATTTTCTTAGAGGGAAGTCGATCAGGAGTCTCATTTTAGAGCCTACAGACACGCAGGTCTAAAAGTACTGCTACTCTACACACCCTGGCTTCCTTCAGTCATTATATCCAGAGCGTGGTTTGAGAGTCGGAGTTTGAAATATTGTGGGAAAAGCCCGTCACCTCCTCTTTTGGGTGCAGTCCAATGCAGCCTTCGTGGGTGGCCTCCCCATTACTCAGAGGCCATGCACACGTCTGTGAGCATCCCTTGTGTCAGCCATAAGGTGGGATGTCATTGATGGATTACATCATTGACTGTGTGCATAGCTATTATTGATTAGTGACTTGGTGCTGAATTGCAAATCATTCTTTCTGCATAACAATGTGGCAAATTATTCCAAAACAGTATCTACAAAATGCTGCCAAATGAGTAGCTATGCAGTAAATGCTCCTTGCATATTAAAATATAAAAGTGTATTTCTCTGGTAAAGCCAGTCTTCCTTACAGGTAGAAACTTGATCTGTATATTTTTAATTCAGATCTTGTTGGTGTTTCATGGTGCTTTCGTGAACGTATGCTGACAGGGTCATCTGACCAGGGGCGGGTTTGTTGTTTCTGGGGCTCCACTCAAAAAGTTGTCCTCCCCCTGTCCCCTTCAGATGTTTTAAAAACTAAATAAACAGCTAGCGAGTAGAGTCAGAAGATGGTAGCTAGTTAGCTGGTTAGCAGAACATGCTGCTTCAGCATCTCCAACATAAGGAATGTGTTTATTTAGTATAGTTTGTGGTGAACACCCCCATATCCTCTCCATCTCACAGGGTGGGCAGAAAAGCAATATTTACTGAAGCTTTATTGCTGAAGTGCAGCTTTAACTGGTAGCGGACTATCTACAAGAATCACTGAGCTGAGTGCTTGGTTCTTTGGAACAATAGCAGCTATATTTGACTCTCGGGTCTGGTTTTCTCCAACTCCTAAACAAGCCTGACCAGAGCTATTGTCAAACGATGGTGGGGGGGGTTGTAACTGAATCCTAGAGACTAATGCTGTGATTGCTGGAATGCTTTCATGTGAACTGGATGTCTTAGATATCTTTCATGCAGGAGGGTTTGGCTGGTTTGATACCTAAATGCTCTCTCTGTGTTTTTGCTAGAAGCATTAAAATCACCATCCTGCGTAACTGCAGCTCTCACTATGCAACCATCGGAACATTTGCATTTTTATATTTTTGCTGAATAATGCACAAACAGTTATAGGGACATATGAACCAATACAGTCGACCCTTATGCATTGTGGGGGTTTGGGGCGCAGGCCACCCACCATCTGGAAAACTGCAAAAAAATGTTTTGGTCCCCTTGAACCCTTTGGTGAGCAAAACAAAGTGAAGTGAAAAGATACGAGAAGTTTAAGATTCAAAGATCACTGTGAGATCACTGCGAGATCACTGCGAGAGGCTGCCGTAAACATGATCGGCATCCTTCAAAGCAGCACTGTCGCACTGTGCTTTTTCAAAACTCCCAAAAAACTCCCATTTATTTTCTTATGCCAACCCGGTGATATACTGAAAACGCAATGGGATAAGTCACAATGCAGGTGGACTGACTGTAAACAACAAAATTAAATACTGGGTAGTTTCATGGAAAAAATGTCAGTGAAAGGTTTTCAGCCCATGTGGGCCGTTTCCTGCTTGATAGAAGATCTTGTACATGAGCTCTGAGGAGATAAATTGAGGCATTAAAGGTGTATTTGAGGAAATGAAAACTAAACTGGAAGTTACTGCCTGATTGTTAAAAGATCTGATAAAAATGACAAACTGTGAGAGGGCTGAGACACCTCAGGAGTGAGATGATGGGACCAGAACCTGCGAGAAGGTTGAGACATGAATGGAGCATTGAGAGGATGTACAGCAGGGCTTTCTGTTATAGGGCCAAGGTGTTGGCAGGTGTTTCAGCTTACCTTCATCTGATAGCAACTTCAGAACTCAGGGGAAAGGCTGAGTTAGATCAAGATAATCGCTTAGTCGAAGTGCTTAAGTGATTTTAATGAGAACCGGATTGTTTCTGATTGGTCAGGAGAAGGACAGAGGACTTCTGTTGAAGAGGAACAATTTGCACATATCAGTTACTGCTTATCTGGCCCCCCACCCAAGGTCATAGCTGTCAAGTCTCCCTTTTTGGCTGGGAAACTACTGCATTTTACCGCTCTTTCCCGCCGTCCTCCCGTATTAGTATTTTCCCGTAAATCTCCCGTATTATAATATCATTTAAAAAAAATTCCTCTGCCTCTCCAAACTGAACTGTCAGTAGCCTCGCGAGAACTGCCACCTGCAGTAGCCTGCAGGTCATTTACAACATTAACCAGGTCATAAATGCGGAGGTTAACAAGGCAATGCTGTGTGCGGAAAACAACGTTACTTTCACCTTCTGTGACGACTTCAACAAGGATACAAAGTCTGCAACAAATCTGTATAATAAGTCATTAGTGAATGCTAGAGAGCCACATGAGTGAACATTAAAACGAAAATGTGTAATGAAAATAAAATGTAAATGACAAGTGGTTATTTTAGATTCCGGTGGGTGCCGGAAAATTTCCCTTATTTTCAAATCCAAAACTTGACAGGTATGCCCAAGGTGTACCCCAGACTTGAGCTCTATGGCATGCTCCCGACCCTGACTAGGAGAAGTTGTTAAAAGATGGATAGATGGAGTTACTGCTTATTACTGGACTGCACCATGAAAATGCGCATGGAGACTGACAATAAACATTGTAGCGTTTGGCAGAAACACCAGTCATGCTATAGAGGGAAGATAAATGCTACTGGAATAAGGTCTCCTTACACCTTATTTAATCACTTTTATGCTCATTACACTACACATCAAAACAACCGAATATTAAAAAACAAGGGACTATACATCAAAACAACTGAATATTAAATTCTAGTTCAACCATTTAATCAGTAGCAGGTCTGTGGTCTCCACAGCTTAGAATGCAGTCGTGTCATGGCATGAATGGGATCTGATTAAATACCAGGGTCGTTGATCTCATTTGTCACAGTCTGGCTGGAGACTGGGAAAACAAGGAGGCACACATGGGGATGCACCGAAATTAAGATATATATATTATATATATATATTATATTTAAAGGCAAAAGTAAGCTACATAGGCAAACCAAAAGTAAGACACAATTAACTAAATAAAAGTATGGGGGTCAAAATTGGGGAGCAACAAAAAGCAGGAGGAGTCATACCTGGCTGCCATCTCTCCAGCAGGCCCCCTTGCTGCCATCCCACATTGGCTGAAATAGGCCCACCGGCACACTGGCCGGAACAGGCCCACTGGCTGCGATAGGCCCACCGGCACACTGGCCGGAACAGGCCCGCCGGCACACTGGCCACAATAGGCCCGCCGGCACACTGGCCGGAACAGGCCCACTGGCTGCGATAGGCCCACCAGCACACTGGCCAGAACAGGCCCATCGGCACAGCTCAGGTGTGCTCTACATGACCAAACAGTAGCTCCATTCCCCCTGCAAGCAGATCCAAAAAGAAGCGCACACAAAACAACCAACAAAAATGACAGGAGTCATTACCGGAAGAGACATTATCCTACACTATGAGCCATTTAAGGAATGTCCATTAGGAGTGTAACGGTACACCTATTCGTACCAAAAATTTTCGATATGGGTCTTTCGGTTCTGTACGCATATGTACCAAACAAATGCAGTAAATGTGGAACCTTTGTGTGTTTGTGTGTTTCCCTCGAGCAGCATTCGGAAAGGGGAGGATGAAGCCGCACTGCTACACATGCGCGCGTACTTTCTAATGTGAAGCTGGAAGTTGTTAATGTGAACACAAGTACAGCACAGGTATTTTTTTAAATGCTGCACTATAATGGATATTTATTTTGTTATGCTTTGTATCGAAACAACCCTACTGGCCATCCACCTTCAGACACACAGACCAGGAGCCTGTTTCAGAAGGCAGAATTTCCTGCTAAGCTGGATAACTTATCAGATTTAATTTACCCCAGTTTAAATGGCCTTCATCTTCTTTCACTTACATTTAGCCCAGACTACTTTAAATCCTTAAATCCGACAAGTTATCCGGCTAAGCAAGAAATCCTGCTTTCTGAATCAGGCCCCAGAGGCAGAACACAGTGGTCCAGAGTATATCGTCCAAAGTATAAGGCCCAATGTTGGTATATCATGGCAGTCTAGCTAACAACCTAAGTTAGTAAAAAACATTATTAACTGAGTTAGAAAAGCTGTTAGATTGAACAGGGCAACAGCACCGTGCTGGTGGGGGTAAACTTTAAGATTAAGCTCCAGTTTAGAGCCAACAAAAGACATATGGGGAATATTCAGATTGACAGGAAAGCAGGAAATGAACAGGAAATGAACGGCTGTGTCGCATCTCATGAACGCTGGGGGATGGCCGCCATTCGCTTCACTGTGAGTTTTACGCACCAGCCTCCACTGTTATTCTGGACAGTTTGAACGAGAATTCAAATCAAGTTTTGAATCTCATTTTTTCAATACACTTAAAGTAACCAACTCAGATTTTTTCCTGATAACTTGAATAGACACGCCCAGATATTACACAGCTGTTTTGCACTATTTGTACATTATCTTTTCCTGAAATTCTTTCTGTGCTACTGCACAAAGACAGGGATCAAAAAAGCTCCATCCTATCCCAACTGGAGTTTTTTGAGAGCCACAAAGTCATTTTTAAATATTCTCTTAATCCTTTTGTCATGTCTCTTTCATACATTAATGGCTTTTGGGTTCTATGTTGCAATGAGGCAAAATGTATTTTATAACACATGCAGCCTAATTCATCATGCATTAAACAAACAAACATTTTAAATAAATTGCATTAACATTAAGGAAGAAGTAAAAAATAATTCAATTGGTTTCATTACTTGCACACACAGGTGCATAAGTGACCTTTTCATTTCTTAACGTCTCTATTGCACTTAGGACATGTCATTAGTTTGTGGGTCTGGCCCCAGCTATGCTGCCTGGAATATATAAAAAAGAGCACAGTTGGATAAAGTGGAGTTTCTCCTGGAGACGGAACTCCAACAGAGGTGGAAAGTTCAGGACCAGCAAGTAAAAATCCAGCCAAGATTTTGTATCAACCAACCAGCTGAGTAAAGACTGTGACTCTTTATACTCAACTGGCTGGGTGAGTGTGAGAAAACAGGTGCCAGTACTCACCTTGGTATTCACTATTAGAGATTACGAGAGGTACCAGTACGCAATATTCCTTCCCAGTACTGCAAAGAAAAAAACACAAAGAGGTACCAGTACTGCATACTAGTGAGTACCTGCCCACTTCAAGCACTGAGGAGCGGTAAAAAAGACAGACGAATAATCCTGGTTATTGTGATTATGTACACTATAATAGTGTGATTTCACTGGAAGCACACATACATAGACTCAAGAATTTCCTTCAAAACAAAAACAATCTTAATTTGAAAGTATCATATATATATACTGAGTGGCCACTTCATTAGGATCCCCTTTTGCCTGCAGAAACACAAGGACCGAAGGGTAGACAAGTTGGGCGATCAGCTTAGCCTTTCTGCAAACTCTTGATTTTGCACATGTGGCCTTCCTGTTAGCTTTAAGCAGTCTGGTCATTCTCCCCTGACCTTTTCTCATCAGCAGGGTCATAGAAATTGTGCTGACTGGCTGCGTTTTGCTCATCACACCATTCTCACATAATATCTGAACCCATTGCTGTTTGCGTTCAGTTGCACTCACAAGATTGGCTGTTTGAAGGAGCAGGTAGTTTGAGTTAACAAGCTGCTGTACACAATAAACTAGCCACTGAATCTACACCATTTAAGCTGGCATGATATTCATATTTAAATTTTTATGTAATATTTGTGATTAGCTTGTAGAATATTCTGAATAATTGGACTGGAAAATCTAGGTCTAATATTTTGGTTTATTATAACTGTCATACTCAGGTGCTTCCTAATGCTTGGGAGAAAAATTAAATTATGTGCAGAGATCATAATTATCCACTAAAAATACTGTTATTCAGATAGCATTTCATTAGCATCTTAACAATGACTGCCTGCGCCCTACAGGAATTCCACAGTAATTACAGCCCTCTTCCTGCTCAGTCATTGGCAGCTTACCTCCCCTTGCCTAAGATCTACTGAGACATCCTGTAACCTCCTGGAGGCTTCTGTGAATCGAGCCCGGACTCGGCGAAGGGCTGGCGGCTTCCTGAGCTCATCATGCCGCGAGATCAAAGCCCATTAACGTCCACGTAACACTCGATAACAGATACAGTCACATATATGGAATCTCTACTGTATATTGTGGCTTTGCAGGATTCTCTTTTGGTTATGATTCCTCTGGCAACGTAAAGTCCTTCCCCATCCAGGGTGGACCCTAGCCTCATGTTGGACGCTGCCATTGGCTCCTGGACCTCTGTGACCCGAGTCAGGAGCAGCAGCTTGATCATCGATGGATTATTACACTATAGCAGTGTTTCGCAATCTGGTCCAGGAGGACCCACAGACAGTCCACATTTCTGCTCCCTCCCAGCTCCCCCTAGGACTGCATTTCATTACCATGGTAGGAGCTGGGAAGGAGCAGAAACATGCACCGACTGAGTCCCTGAGAACAAGATCGGGAGACACTGCTACAGAGTTATCAAACTCATCCTGTTCTTCGACACCAAATGACTTTCCATTATCCTTCTTGAAAACTGCAGCCTTGCACAAATAAATAAATGAATCCCTGAAAGGCACCAAAGTACTGATTAAACACACCTCAGACTGCACTCAACCATGCGCTTTGGGTAGTACATTTATAAAGGTGTTCATATACATGCGCTGATGTCATCACAGCCAAAACCATGACAATGAGAAATACGAAAACCTGATTATGAATTTCAGAGAAATTACTGTAGTAACAAGGTGATTATTATCAACTGGAGAATTAAATCAAAATGAAATCATTGAATCGATTCATTCAATTAAGTACAAACATAATGAAAGGGGAAAATGAATTTTACTAGTGATCCTTAGGCTGTTTAAACTTCATTATTACAGCTTTAAAATGTTGAAAATTAAATTATAAAAGAGAACACAGACTTAAGTGTCCCGTTGACTATAATCCTAACAGCAGTTACAGGGATCTTGAGAAATGTTTATTATGCTCCATTTTGTGCCTAATTATCAATTCACTAAGGTATAACTACAATATCACCCTTTTATTTACTGATAATGCAGCATACTCACTACATGGAGTATGTTGTACTACTTAGAAATGATTGAATAATAGTGGTTTGCAATGATTAAACATGGTCTAATCACGAGATCATTTTTTGTATATATATCTTATCCTAATATGAGAACCAAATTGCAGTTTGATGAGATCCTCTATTTCTATGGCAACATGTAAAGTATAATGGAATATAAAAGAACTGCCCTTCATACAACTAAAAAAAAAACACAACACGACTCATGACGTAAGATTCAACCACCAGGTGGCAAACATGAAGCCTGAATTTTAAACAAGTGCATATTTCTCAATTCCACAAATGCTAATTTGATTTAAATAATCAAATATGTACATCTTTCACCTTTTATAATGCAGATTATAATGGTTTATAGAATTTTTGAAGATTGGACAAAATGTGGGGAAAAATAAGCTTGTTCAAAGACAGCATTTTCGTTAAGATGATTCACCGTAAGTCTATAAAAGTTTCAAACAGCTTGAGTGCCTTAAGAAAGGTTAATAATGCTGAACCCCTTCTTCAGAACCAACAGAGTCCCCTCCCACACAGTAACAAAATAAACTCCAGAAAGAACACATTTATTAGAAACACACAAAAGTCAAAATCTAGACAGGTCAAGTCTTTTCTATCAAACTAAATGTGCACAGTTAAATTCAACAAAGGCTTTAGTTCAAAAAGAAAAGCAGATATATACATGGTTTAAAAAAGAAACAGGAAAGACACATGCCAATACAACAATTTGGCTCAAGTATTCAGTTACATCCACCTTCATAAATATAGCATAATTAAGATGCATTTAATTTGTGTTGATCAGCATGTGCCATTCATAAAGGATCAGAGGTTGAGCAAATATCCAAAGGTTATAAAATGTTATGAAATCACAGGAAAAATTCTGACACCCTCACGTGTTGCTCATTGGGGGGGGGGGGGGGTGCATAGTCAAACAGCTGTCAGCAACACTGGTCAATTAAGTTTCTGTGGGCAGGGAAAATTAGCATTAAATTGTCAAATTTAAAAACTACATGTAAAATAATGTCCATTATCCATTGGATAACTGGTTATGATGTGGAAGTACATTTGTAAATTAGGTTGTTTTCAAGGTCCCCAGTAAAAGGTCTCTTTGCTGCCCTCTATTGGTGGAGAAACAAGTCCATCCTAAAGTACAAAAGTTAATCACAGGCAAATATACTTTAATTAAACTGGTATGTGCAATATCTTATTCCAAATTTACTGTAGGAAAAAGGACATGAAACTTTACATGGCCTCAAGACGCACCTCAGGAAAAAAAAAATGTACAAGGCTCCTTGGTCAACTAACATTTTCACTGCAAGCTGTACCAAATAAATAGAAAAGATACACAAATTAAACAGCTGCAGATCAGAATTTGCAGGGATAGCACTACGATACTGACTTTCCCATTGTAAATTTAAAGTTATTTTTATGCAGGTCCACATGCGTAGAACACGATCATGTCGTTCTTTTGGCACTGTAGGTGTATCAGAGCAATGACAATGTGACACGGAGTTTATAAAAACCTTGCCCACATATTGGAAGATCCAGGAAGCTTGAAAGGAAGGTCCCGAGCCCCCCCACCCCACCCCACCCCACCCCACATGTAAGGCACGGATCTTACTACTGTCTAGCAGACGCTGAAGCTCATCACATCAAGCTCCGGTTACACGAATGAGCACCTAGCCTTGGGAAACAGAGGCACCGGTGGCCCTCGCATGCGGCGTCCTAAAGCGAAACGAGACGGCGATCTGAGCCGTGGGTAGCTGCCCACGACTCCTAGCGAGGCCATGGGCTCAGACGCTATAAAAAACCCCCCAGTGGAGCACCCCCCCGACAGCTTACTGCGCGAACCCACAGCTGCACAGTCGTCACGCAGCCACAGGAGGGCGCCAGGGCAGGAAACTGAGCGCAAGCGAAAGCTGTTAAATGGGACGCGGTTATTATCACAAGTGTCACGCAACTTGTAAAGTAGCGGAGTGGCTACTGGCTACTTGAAAGGACCTTGAAAGGATGCTAACAAGCACTTCAAGCGATTGGGGGAGAGCTCATCTGGTCGGTGATGACAGCAAGTACACATCCAGGACACTGCACCACATCTACCCAACGGTAAGCAATGTGCATGTTTGTGCACAAGGTTACTGCCGTATGCTCTGTCCATAGCTTGCCCTTCTTTGAAGGGAAATACTACAATGGACAGTCAAGGAGACCTTAACCTGAATTTCCAATGCCAGCTCCTATCCTCCACCCACCCCTTCCCACCACCCAGTGTTGTCTTGACAGCTGCAGGGCACAAGGGGGCGCAGTTTCACACAGCAGTGGTGTCCCCGTACTCCTTGTTCCAGCGCACGTACAGGTCCAGGGTTTGGGGGCCGACGCTGCGCTTGATTTTCTTCAGCGACTCCATGAAATCGCTGAAGCGGATATTTCGCACCTGTGAGGGAGAAATGGAGAAGAGTCACTTATTCACGTGAAGACTGACTGCTGTGAAGGCAGATTGTTTCAGGAGAATATGTGACACTCCGAGTAGATTAATGACTCGCCTCATTAGCGGACATGTTCTTCACCTGTTCTGGTCTTAGTTCTTTGGGGAAAGGTGGACAAAAGCATAGGTTGTTTTACCAGTGGGTTCTTGTACATTTCATCTTAAGTCCCAGCACAGCCCAGCAACAAAATCAATGCCTTACAAGTCCCAAGGACAGACAGAACAATCACAGATAACACAGAGAACATGTTCGTCCAGGATACAGTACTGGATAAGCAACTGCAAAAATGGATGGATGAAACCTCATCTGCTCAGATACATTACAGAGCAAGTGTCTTAGCCTGAAATATTATGGTTATCATTAAAAGAGATCACTAATATTAGAAAGAGAGAAAATCACAACTAAACAACTAACAACTTTATTGAAATTCTCTTTTCACCTATTCCGTCAGGCTCTCCATGACACAGACAGTGAGAGTGAGCTTGGCAGCGAAAGGCAGCCACCTACAGCAGCAGCCACAGACCTGGGGGTTAAGGGCCTCGCTCAAGGGCCCACAGACATGCAGTTACTCTGGCAAAGCTGGGCTGCACCGGTGATCACTGGCACAGAGGATTAGCCCTCTGAGCCACATGCTGCCCCCATTCTAAAGATTTTGGGTAAGCATCCATCCATCCATCCACCCATCCCATAAACATCACAATTTCAGGTAACTGATATCCACACACACACACACACACACACACACACTTCCTTTTACCTCTTATGGGGCCCAGAGCTGCATCTTTAGCTAATGAAGTCAGGTCACTCCCTGAATAGCCTTCAGTCATTCTGAAAGGTGCATAAACATTGAACATGACCTACATTTTAGAGGGCTACTTTAGTTAGGCGACACCCACTGCTCAGGGGAGATCTCACACAAAAACAGTGACCTTCAGTATCCTGACGGACTCACCTGGCCAGTTTAACCAGCTCCGTTTGGGTTAGCGGATTTCTATGCTTCCCCAAGAGATTCTTTATCAGTTTCAATCGTGTCTAAATGTAAGAATGTTCAGCATTTGGTTAAGATATGGGTGGCATTTTCCTCTTCATCAAAAACAATGCAGAACTAATAATCTGAAGAATTCCTGCATGCATGCAGAGATTAGGAAATCAGGTGCAAACTTGACATACCTCTTCTGTTGGCAAAGTCACATATACCCGTTTTGCAAATCTCCTGTGTAAATTAAAAACTGATTATTAATCAGAAAGCAAATGCTTACACAGTGTCAATTACAGCTCTGCTTTTGACAATCTGATAAACATGTAGAAGTTAAAGGGACCTTATCGTGCTTTTCAGGTTTTTTCCCTTTCCTCTAAAGCTTTATGTGCATGTAAAGTCTTAAGGCCCAAAGTACATGTCAAAGGGCGTAACGCTCACCACTGAAACCTCTCTTTCCTAAACTGCTTGAAATACCTCACTGGAATTCCAGCCCTTCATGGTGAGGTCACCTTGTAACACAATCTTTATAGGCCACCCACCTGCAAGGATCTGTCTGTAGACTGCAAGCCAGGGGTAGAATATGTAGAGCAAACTGACCAATCAGAGCACTCTGGGCATTTTTGGGGTGGGGTTTAAAGCTCCGAATGTTCAAGACAGTTAGAGACTGTCATAAGTGAATAGAGATGTACAATACGGGAAAATGTTCTTGGAACACTGAAGCACATAAATCTATTGTATTACATGCCAAAATTAAAATAAAAAACAGTGAAAATGAGTATAATAGGGTCCCTTTAAAGGACTGACGAGACGGTAGCGAGCCCATTACGGGCACACTGAGGGATCTGCTTTCATCACACGTGGCCATGTTTTTACCTGAGAACTGCTTCGTCCAGCTCCTGAGGCCGGTTTGTAGCCCCCATCACCAGAACCCTGTCTTCACTGCTCGACTGCACCTGCAGGGGGAGCAACTGATTGGTAAATGCAGCTCTTCTAACAAACAGGCACTGGGGATGGTTATGGGGATCTGCAGAAGTCTCACACACAGCATTCTGGGAAATGATTCAGCAGCATCTGTCTGACCTTCCATTATGACCGAGGACCATGAAGCGACCGGCCCACTTACCCCATCGAATTCGATTAGGAACTCTGTCTTGAGGCGGCGGCTGGCATCGTGCTCCCCCTCTCGCCTCTCGCACAGGAGGCTGTCGATTTCATCTGTAAAGACACGGCTTGTTAGGGAGACCCAATAGCACTGTTAACGAGCTGCCCTTGTGCCCAAACGGTTTCAACTAGCTATTTAACAAGAACTACTTCAGTGGCGAATCAATGCAACGAAACTACTTAATTATACAAAAAGAAACCAGTCTTACCTATGAAAATGATGGAAGGCTGCAGCTCCCTGGCCACAGCAAACAGGGCCCTGACAAGCTTCTCTCCTTCTCCCACCTGCAGATAACACGTTACCCTGGGTGACTCAATGTCGCCCCCTAGGGGCCAGGAATGGCAACTACATTACTTACGTATTTGGAGGTGAGGCTGGCGGCACTTATGCTAAAGAAGGTTGCACTGGACTCCATAGCTACAGCTTTGGCCTGTTCAGGAAACACAAAAAGGTGGAAGTTTGCTGGATGCATTTTGAAGGCAGGTAGATTTTACACTGGGTGTGGTGAAATGGTCCCCATGCAGTTCCAGTACATCGTTCACTGTACTGAGGATGCAGAAATGGGCCCAGTTTGACTCGATAGATTCCACAGAGGCACATGTGCCCCAAAGACCTGCCACCGCTTTCTGCTGGCTTGGTTACAGAATGCTCTGTGTCGCCACTTTTCCGAACTGATTACAGTCTACAGCCGTAAAACCACAGTGACACAAAACGAAAGTGAGGGCATGTTCAGAAAGTAGCACTAATTACACCACATTAAAGGTGCCACAGAATGATAATCTGACTTTACCGTGGCATAACTGAATACGGGGAGTTTGGTACATGGGACAGACATACTGTGAATCTCAAACACTGTTCTTCCCTCTTTCAGATGTAAATCCCCCATATGTAAAAGGCAGTAAGACAAGCAGATTCAAAAATCCTAGACTGTTATGTTACAGTCTTAACCACACCCACAATCTTAAGATACACCCACCCACTTCCAAGCCCAATGGACCTGAACAACCTGCAATACACATTTTCTCTCTCGAGGGGCGTGAGCGCATAGTGTCCACAAGGGCACCTGGCGAGGAAAAAAATACCAACAGCCATTGATGTGAGGTTATTATTTACCAGTAGGCTAAGAAGGTAAGTCCTGTTCAGGTTAGCAGGGGGGTAGCAAACATTATGAAGTCTGACACTGACAAGAGGCTTTTGTGCTGCCTGTAGCTGAACAAGCATGTAATCGACACTGAAGTCAAAAACACTGAAAGCAGAAGTCCCAATTCATTACCAACACATTTACGCGCTGCTCAGCTTACTGTTTGGAGTTCTTGATTAAAATTGCATGACAAAGCTGGCATTGTACAATCATTTGTTGACTGAGGTGCACAATTATTACAATGTTCTTATGATGCTAAGAACAAAAGTTATGACTATGCTAATATTGTGCCTAAGCTGAAATGGGAGTATTACAGTTACATTTGAAAGGGGAAAATAACGATAAAAGTACAGCACATAAACAACTGTGTTACTGGTTTATCATTATCAAGTATTATGCACTGTACATAACTGTGTGTGTTATACTTTTAAATGAATGGCAGTGCAGTAGATTTTTTTACACCAGCATCACCACAAACACGTGAGTAAAGCATTGCGCTATGACATCACTAGGCGACTGAATTTTTGCAGTCCGTCGTTGAAACAGCAAAAATCAGCAAAAGAACCATTGTTTGACACTGGGTTAATAAACAAACATGATATCCCAAGACTCAAGAACTAATCTCCAGGTTAAAGAACTTTAACTTTCTACCACAAAGAATCTGGAGTTTTGTTCCACAATTTGAGTACAGTCTCACTCTATTCAGCGGCCATGTTGCTCCGAACCATGTGATCCTCATGAAGGTCACATGATTCATGACCTTGGTGACTTGAGGTGTGTACAAAGCATCCCGGTACGCAGGGAAGTATTTCTGTATCTATTTTAAACATCCCCTACAACTCTTGCCTTGATGTTTATCTAGTACTGCTCTTACATCAAATTCACTTTACACGTCTATTCTATTACTGACTATGTGTGACATATTTATGAATGACTACCATCGTTTCAGAGTTATAATAACCAGTACAAACAGGGAGACATTGTTTAGATGCCACACAGTAGAATGTCATCTTGGGGCTCTGACCTCACCACCCACCCTCCACAAGGGAGGCACCAAACTCACCAGCATGGTCTTCCCGTTCCCAGGGGGGCCAAAGAGGAGGAGGCCTCTGGCAGGGGCCCGGAGACCCGTGAATAACTGGAGGACAAAGAGCAAAAACAGACTGATAAACTTCCCAGTTACCTTTAATGAGCAAAACTCTCAATTGTGCCCAAACCAGAACCCATAAAAGGATCAGGACTAAACCTGAATTCCTGGCCCAGTGGCTCACCTCTGGCCGTAAGGCAGGAAGGATGACGATCTCCTGGAGCGCCTGCTTGGCAAGATCCTGCCCAGCGACATCCTCGAAGCTGACAGGGGACCCGCTGAAAAGGACAGGCACACGTCAGCCTGCTGTGGGCCGGTGGGGGTCAGGTCACCCCGGGGAGAGTCACGCTGGACCCCACCTGTCCACGATCTCATTCAGGATGAGGTTGGCCAGCTTGCTGTCCACGTTCTTGAAGTTCTTCAGGTCCCTCTTTCGGGGTGGAGTCGTCGCAGGGGTCGTGGGTTTACAATTCTGCCGACTCCCAGCTCTCGCGGTGACCTTTACACACACAAGGAAACGCAGAAACATCAGAGGTCTGTTGTGTAGCTACGCAACATGTCACCTCTGCATGTCATTCATGTTGCCCAGCCGTCTGCCTCACGCTGCCTGGAACAGACTCCAAACCCCACCAAAAGTAACCGGAGAATGGATCTCCTTTAATTTGAACGAATAATTTAAAAAGTGCTGTGTTTTCCTAGACAGATGGTGAAAAATAAATAAATAAACAACACACACAAACCTTAAATTGGCCTAGGTGCATGATTATACTTAAACCATTAAAATTTCAGAGGTATCTGGCTCCACCTATAACACACAGAACTCTTCACAGCAGATACTATGCATTTTAATTAACCCTACAGTTTGTTCACAGCTATGAGCCGGACACCATCTTGTGACCGTGGAAAGACGAGCGGTTCCCGTAACGAAGGATCAGCAGGAGCTTCATAGGATCAGCCAAGAGGGCTGGTTATTTTCGGGAAGGAAGCTGCATGGTCAGACAGCGGTAGGCCGGATTAAAGGACAAATGGAATCGCAGTTCTCAGATTTATGGGATGCTCGGTATCGGTGCATTTCTAACTGGGTCATGTTTAGCATTTCTTGGAGCCACATGGAGGTTGTATCTACCAGCCCTAATTAGACTACACAGGAAGACATTTTTCCTTAACATGCAAAAGCAGCATTTTCTGTTCCTTTATATATTTTTTTTATATATGTCAGCAGCTTTTTTGCTGATGTATTCCTTAATTTACCAGGCCTATTATAGCCAAAAAAGAAAAATATTCTGACATGCTGTCATAACGTACAAAGGCTTCTACACATATAGCTTGTGCCATCCTTCCAGACCTGGTACATTGATGCCAGAGCGTGAACTCAAGATCAAAGGCCGACGAGTAGATAGGATATGAGGCAGAGGCTCACCCTGTGGCTGCTGGAGGGCTGGGGGGGGGACCTGGGCGTGCCGGAGCTGGAGGGCCCGCTGTAGCTGGGCGAGCGTTGGTGCCCATGGCCACCCCCCGGGGAATTCTTTGGTGCGTGCTTTGGTCGCGGCAGGGAGTGACTGGAATGGGTCAAGGGGTCCTTCTTTTTGGGAAGCGCTCCACTGACTGCCAAGAGCAATACAAGTTATTTGCCCCCTCCCATCTCGTCAGTCATTCCTTGAAGCAATGACACTTGACCTTAAACTGGATTCATTTTAATCAAGTACAAAACTCTGCTCCACCACAGATGGATGTAGTGCATTCACAGCGTTTTCTTATGAGCTTAAATTGTTTCATTTAGTTATATTACAGCTACAGTTTACCGAAAAGCTCAGAAAAAGTACTTCACTGTAACTTCTGCACAAGTCCAAGTTAATTCAACAAATGGCCGTGGAAAAAAGTAATGGAATGACCCACATTGCAGTTGGAAAATTGCATGCTAACCTAAATACTGATAGTACCTTTGCTATCCCAGAATCCACCTCAAAAAACACTGGGGAAATAGGGGTCAGCGGCAATGGTATAACTTGGTTGAGCACTGGGGGGGTTGTGGTTTCCACCCAGTGCTACTAACTGTAACAGTAACTTGGAAACAGATTTTAAGCAAATCAGCTTACAAGTTTATACTCACCCATACAGTCAAATATATAGCATATAAAATGCATCCCACTAAAGCATTCAGGTTAAGCATTATTCTCTAAGCTCTTGTTACAGAACCTGAGCAAGGTGTTCAAACGGCCTTTGGGTTAGAGGTCAGCATCCTCAACGACGCTACTGAAACCTAAACTCTCCGTTTGCCAGCAAGCTGAAGAGCGATACGGATGGTGATGGAAGAGAAGCCTGAGGAATTCCTCACACGTATTACTGCTGAATGGGAGAGCAAGGCTGTGACAGTGACTGATTAAGAAAATTAAGGATTAGATCAACAAATCACCTTTTCACAAGAACTATTAATTTCAACGGAAATGACTATTCTTGATTATGGAGAGGATTATCAAATCCACAATCTTATTTTTAGCATTAAGACATGATTATCATTCTTCTGATAGCCCAGCTTTGAGCCCTAATGATACAATTAGCCTTCCTGTTGACTGCACACGGCCATTCAGACATGAGCTTGTATGCTGTAAACCTTCACACCCATGAATTGCACGGCGGGACCCTGCGGACGCCCGTCAGAGAGAACACCATTGGCCCATGATGCCATGTTCAGCTCACCCACCTGAACGCAGATGTCCATTCTGGTGGGACTGGTCTGTACTGTCAGTATAGATGTCTGTCTGAGCTGAACTCGAGAGAACCTTTGCTACACACCGGAAGAACAAAACAAAACAAAAACAAAAAACAAAACAAGTTGGGGGTTTGGGGGGCAGGAACGCAACAAGGGAAAACAAACAGAAAATACTTGAAATAAGGGAAAAGGGATAATGTCCCTGCTGGTGTAACTTGGCATAGTGAGGTGGCGAGCTTGTCAGCACATAAAACATCGATGCATGCGTCAGCCATGCGCCCACCGCTGTGCATTCTACCACCCATGCGACACAACACTGACACTCTCCCACACAAAAGCAATCGATCTCTCTATGGAGGGCTCAAGGACACATCTGCTATGCTGTCCCAACACTGACATGAAATACAAGCTAAAGATCAGTTTTACTGAATTAAAGTGGGCCTACACACTCTTAAAAAAGCTGTTTTTTTTAATAATCATGCAGAATAGCCTAAAAAGCAAGTAAAGGTGTTACATTTAAGGATATGTTACACCAGTTAGAGTAGCATATGCAAAGGTGATTTAACAGTGTGCTAAGTATGCGTTAGCATTGAGGCTAGCCTCGGAAAGACCCAGAACTGCTAATCCCAACGTGTCACGAAGACAAAGCTTACAAAGTTTCAGACCATTGGACAGAGGATGAACACACAAAACGCAATAACAGCCAAAGCAAAGCAAAAAAAAAAAATGTTTGGGTCTTTCCAGAGCAGTGGTCTGGCAGCATCGATTTACTCATGAACCTCTGCCCTACTTACACAAGTATCAGGACAACTCATGTGAAAAGAGGCTGCAGACATGCTTTCATTGATGGGTAAAAAAACATTTGTTTAATATCCTGTTGTAAAGAAGAACCTAACATAGGCATTCTGCATAAACTTTTATATAAATAGGCTATAATATATATGACCAATTGCAGCATCAGTGATATTGTAAAATGGCTTTTAAAAAAAAAAAAAAAACAGGATATTAAAGACACAGGAAAATGCCGGAATGATCACAGCATTTGCCTCTGGAATCTCACCTAGAAGCTGGAGCCGATCTTTAGCCATAACAAGGTTTGTGGTCATCTTAGCCTGGAGCCGTTTCGCTCGCTCAAACTTCTCTCCTGGGGTGGGGGGGTTTTGGGGGAGACAGGGATTACAGGTTAAAGAATAAATAGCAATGATATTACTGCAATATTGCCCATTTTGGGGAGCAGGGGGTCAAAAGGAGAGAAGATGGAATGTGTGAAAACCATGGACCGTGGAACAGAGTCTTAAGCATTTTTTGACTTGACGACTAGCACACCTCGTATGGCTAATGGATGCCTCATTGAGTTATTTAACCAGTTAGTTAAGAGAACTGGTAAAGACATTTAACAAATACAAGGAATGGTTGAGGTGCCCCTGAGGAGAGGTTTGGGAAGTCAATGGTGTTTCGTCTAACAGTCCAACAAGATCTCAGTAACTTTTTCAAGAATAGAAGAAAATTTTTATTAGCTTTTATTGTGTTGTTATTAATTTGCATATGTTCTAATGTTAAATTTTATGTTTTTATATAAACTTACTATCCAGATTAAAAAAGCTTTATACCATTTTGTAATTTTGGCTTTATTAATAAAGTTTTATCAGTTTACAGGTCACTTTTCATGACTGTTCATCACTGCATTCCTGAAGTGGTCCAGTTCCACGGTCCAAGGTGAAAATGAAAGAATTCCCGTGTACCTGTAAATGGCAGAGAGCACCGTTCATGCAAAATGAAAATGAGGCAACATGGAAACACAAACTAACATGGGCTGGGGAGGCAGTGGTGAGAGAGACAGTCAGGTGACCAAGGTTTTCGTGTCAAGAACATATGAACATAAGAAATTTACAAACGAGAGGAGGCCATTCGGCCCATCAAGCTTGTTTGGGGAGAACTTAACCAATAGCTCAGAGTTGTTAAAATCTTATCTAGCTCTAATTTAAAGGAACTCAGGGTTTTAACTTGTGCTACACTAGTAGATAGACTATTCCATACTCCAACTACACACTGTGTAAAGAAGTGCTTCCTCAAATTCGTTTTAAAATGTTCTCCCGCTAATTTCGATTTATGGCCACGAGTTCTAGTATCTAAACTAATATTGACGTAGCCATTTGGCTGAACAGCATCCAGACCCATTAGAATCTTATAGACCTGGATCATGTCCCCCCTTAGTCTCCTTTGCTCAAGGCTAAACAGATTCAGCTCAGCTAACCTCTCATCATAAGACATTCCTCTAAGACCAGGAATCATTCTCATAGCCCTACATTGCACCTTTTACAAGGCAGCAATGTCCTTCTTAAGGTATGGTGACCAAACCTGCACACAATATTCTAGGTGGGGTCTAGAATATAATCGTAGCATCACCTCCCTTGACTTAAACTCCACACACCTAGAGATGTAACCCAACATCCTATTGGCCTTTTTATTGCTTCCTCACACTGGTGAGAGTGGGACATGGAAGCATCAACATACACACCGAGATCTTTCTCATAATCACATACCATTATTTCAGTGGAACCCATAAAATATCTGTACTTTATATTTAATCCTACATGGATTACCTTACATTTATCAATGTTAAATTTCATCTGCCAGGTATCAGCCCAGTCGCTAATTAAATCCAGATCCCGAAGCCTCTCTGCTGCTAGATCAGCATCTGCTACACCACCCACCTTGGTGTCGTCTGCAAATTTAACCAGTTTACTGTATGTATTGGTGTCAATATCATTAATGTAAATTAGGAACAATAGTGGTCCTAAAATTGAACCCTGCAGTACCCCACTATGAACACAGGCCCACTGTGACATTGTGACTCTAATAACTACTCGCTGCTTCCTGTCAGTTAACCAGTTTTCAATCGGTGTGTTGATTGGTTCCATCTGACCTATATTCTCAGAAAGATTTTAGGTGTTTAATTAAATGGGTGTTTGTTTCATTTCATCCAGTAACTTGTTAGACGCAAGTTTGATTTCTGTTGTGTCCCACCTGAGCTTTTTCTGGTCTGTAAAAAACAACTCCATGTCGAACCTCAACATCACATGGTTTTGTTTGCCGTTCTGATCATAGAGATTCCCACAGAAACCAGTGACTGACCTTGTCCTGAAAGCTCCACAGCAATGCCCTTCTCCAGCTCCAAAATTCCCTTCTTGTACCACTGAACTGCTTGCTCCTTTTGACCTGGAAGAATGACAAACAGGTTAAGAGTTTTCAAATGAGGACACATTCATTTTCAACTGGAAGAAATTCTCCTCAAAGACAAAAAAATAAATAAAATAAAAGCTTGAGCTTGCTGTAGAACACTTCATCCTGATAAGTCTGGGATAAACAAATTTATATACAAAATGATCTCTGGTCCATCTTACACATCTTCCAGTTTCTACCAGTTCATCCATGTCTAGATTAAAGCTTCATAAACAGTGAGGTCTACTGAACCGTTATGCACCATTTTAATAAAAGCTGTGATTAGCGTAATTCAGAATTACGACGAAGTCGGATGAAGATCTGTGAACATCTTTGTGTATAGATCTTTGTTCATAAACCCTTCATGTAGATCAGGGGTGGCCAATCTTATCCACAAAGGGCCGGTGTGTATGTGGGTTTGTGCTACGACTCCGTAATTAGTTTACTAATTAGAGGACTGATTGGCTGAAGAGTCCTCACACCTGGGTTTGAACATCTGACCTACAGGTTATCCCAAAAACCTGCACACACACCAGCCCTTTGCGGATAAGATTGGCCACACCTAATGTAGATGCATGAACATCTACATGCATGAGGGCCATCTTCACACACTGAATCTGCATCTGGTTTTCTTGACCAGGGTAAAAGGTTTTCCACTTTGTATTGCCCTGTTTACACATCCCTGCTTTCCTTTACAGCCAGGAGGATAAGCCTTTAGATTAGGGGGGTTCCAACCCCCCCTCAGTACACAGCCAGTACTGCACTGGGCTACTGAATGCTGGGGGTTTTGTGAAGGGGTTTATTAGCTTCCAGAATTAAATGATATTTTCATTTTTACTACGATCCTAGGCATTCAAGCATTCTGTTTGCATCTGAAGAAAAGAAAAAAAAGAAGATGAAGATTAAACTTATAAAAATGCTGATTGATCTCATGATACACCCCCTACACAGACATTTTGCTGGTCCGTGAAATTTATGCACGCCGAAAACTGGTATGTGGGAATCAAAAAGTCTGGAACCCCTACTTTAGCATTGCTATTCAGAGATGCAAAATTGTTGAGGTGGAGATTTCAGGTACAGAGAGTACAAATCCAGACCAAGATTTTGCTTCAACCAACCAGTTGAGCATAAATAGTCAGTCACAGAGTAGTCAACTGGTTGGTTGAAGCAAAATCTTGGTCTGGATTTGTACTCTCTGGACCTGAAAACTCCACCTTTGCTAAAGCCAAGTCAAACACACAGCCATCAGCACCTCGAAACTGCAAAAAGTCAGACAAGGACTGATCTATGCTGGTGTATGATAAAGACGCCTTTCCGAGCTCCCAGTCAGGTCAGCGGCATGACAGCAGCCACAGTCAGGGTGATGACATTTTTGCGCTCCCCAAGTAAGATGGATAACAGATTGGGGAGGGGGGGGGATGCCTTCGGTCACTGAACACGAAATTAAAATCAGCAGGAAGACCATTATTGAATTTAATCCTGCCAAAGTATGACTGGTAACAGGGAGTCTTAACTATATAGCAAAAGATTTTTCTGCAGTAGGGGACAAAACACACACAGGACAGGCCAATCTTATTTCCATACACTTCTAATGCACTTCCTGGGCTACGCTTCTCTTCAAGCAAATGGTGAAGAGAAAAAACAAACAGTACAGAAACTGAACTTTCAAATTTTCCAAGAACTGACTGAGTATAAATGAGGGAACAGCCAGTATGAGACGCTCATGTGACCCCTCGCCGACACCAAACCACCCTGTCCTGGTGTCTCAGCCAGCCAGCCTTCAAACCACGCGAGTGTCTACTGCTAAGGAAGAGTTCCTTCCTCTAGGCAAAAGTAGATCAAATTTATATAGTAGCACTGGGAATAACCAGAAATGAATCTGAATGCAGGGCAAATAGGCATCATCTGACATTACACCTTCTGTGTTGTTTATCAGTTTAAAAGAAAATTCAGAATGTGAAATATTGACCTGAGAAAAAGTGCAAATTCACTTCAGGCAATAAGACAGCCTGAGAGGCACATGGGCCATGAGAGAACTTTCTGCAGGGTTTTCTCTGCCAGAATTATACAAATAAACATAATAATGCCCAGCTCAAGTAAACGGTCACAGCTCTAAAGGTTATTTAAAATAACGATTTGAATTGACACCCAGTCTTTCCAATTTGCCAACAAATGATCCAATGGAGACATGGACACAGGACAAATGGGGCACAGAAACTTTGTTACGCGCGGATATTTAGACACCCAGGAATGACACAAAAGCTACATGTTGTGTGGGGGCCGTGTAAGTTACGGCAAACATTCTGCACCAACTGATGCAATTTTCTGCTCAAAGAACAGATGAATATTAAAAATCTTAATGCATCACATTAACTCCGCTGGTGTCAGACACAAGAAGCTAAGGATTATCTCCTCTCAAATGGAAACTTATCAGTGGGACATGGGCATGGATTCATTTCCCCTTTTGGATAACAACTTGGGGGGGGGGGGGGGGGGGGTTCTCATAAGAAAACATGCAGCAAACAGAAAATCCAGGAGGAAGATGAATTATACAGATGTCTTGTTCATTAGCAACTTTTTCTAAGGATGGAGAAAGTAAGGAGCGAGCTGAGCCATCTCACGGGAAATTGTTATGGAAATCGATTAATCCCACACTTATCCTTACTGATGTTACTAAAACCAAGGGAAACCACATCAGGGTAGGGCTGGACAATAATTCGATATCAATATATATCGCGATATAATTTTTTTCAATAACAGTGATACGATTTTTAAACACATTTCCGATATTTCGATATACATATATACTGTATCATATAATATACAGTATATGAATAATTTAGTAAATTTTAGTTTAAATGGAAATATATTATTGTTAATAAGCTGAGTCTGAGAGTTTTATTTATTTGATAGTTTATTTCACATTTCTTGTTTGTAAAGGCTAAATACAAATAAAAAGTGAACCTTATTTTTTTTGTACTGTTTTTATTTTAAAAAAAATTATATAATTTTAATAGGAGGAGCCTGGAGGTATTATAGACTTCCATTGTGTGTGTCCTCGGCAGTTTTTTCCTGAGGCTTTTTAATATTGTCCATATCGATATCGGAATTATATCGTATCGACCAAAATTAAGAAATATATTGTGATATAATTTTTTGCCATATCGTCCAGTCCTACATCAGGGCACCTTAAAACCCAGCACAGGGGGACTTGCATGACATGCATGACAGTCCCAGAGCACCTTGGTGTCCCATCAGGTTTCGGGAAGGAAGAACAGGAGGAGTAGAGAAGAAATTGTATGAAAATTTAACACCGTGACCAAAATGATCACGGTTTTCAGTAGGGCTGGACGATTTATCGATTTCAAATCGAATAGCAAGTCGCAAAGGCTGCGACTTAGGATATACATTATACAGCACGTCGGACCCAGGGTTTAAAAATTGCTGTGAGAATAGTTTTACAAATTCATGCCGTGCTCCCTGTATGACAGTCATTCTCACCAATCAGAAGTGGCCCAAGAAGGCGTATAGGCCCACAAACAGCAAACACGTGAAACTCAAGGAAAATGTTACATTTACGGTGCAGAAAAATACTGCTTCCGCTACTAAGCTGTAAGTCAGGGGTGGCCAATCTTATCCGCAAAGGGTCGTTGGGTATGCGGGTTTTCGCTGCAACTCCCTAATTAGATTACTAATTAGAGGACTGATTGGTTGAAGAGTCCTCACACCTGAGTTTGAACAGCTGACCTACAGGTTATCCCAAAAACCTGCATACACACCGGCCCTTTGCGGATAAGATTGGTCACCCCTGCTGTAAGTGAATTGCCTTCCTATTTCATGGTCCGAGATTGTTTCAGACAGGTCCTATCATCAATAGAACCGGTGAGTTCCTTTTAAACTGCAATATGCAGTATCATACCTTTGGTTTTTGTTAATAGGCAATAGCATTAGGATACCGCGAACCCATCAAAACACATCAAAACAACGAGACAGTCAGTAATTCTCACAGCAGCAGAGTCAGTGACCCCCCAAAAAGCCATAAAACCCACAACAGTGGTGTTTATGTCATATGTTTTTGTGCTTGTTAAATTAAGTATTTCCAAAGATTAATCTTAATCCCACAACAGTAATAAAATAAAAGTCTTGCTTTAACATAAATACTAAAAGAATAGATCGCTTTAATCGCTATTACAGTTGGGTCTTATTTAGAAAACAAAAAGAGACGCATAAAATGTTTGTTCATTCGTTTTGCATTTGTCTGAGTAACAAAGCAAAGGAATGATAAGCTGCTTCAGTCGAAAACTGCATTTAACTTCTCATTTAAAATAAAATGCAGGGTTGGCAACTTTGGTCAGCTGCATGGAGTGAGATTTTCTGTTCTCTGTTCTGCACACACATTTACATGTATGTAAGTTTTATTACCTTGTAAATAGTCTGTAGGGTTTGCAAACTGCCGTAACGTTTTTGATGCAGCTAATTTTAAGTTCAGAATGGATTTGCCGTAAGATTTCTTGCGTGAGACTCTGAGTTTGCAACCATGAACACGTACATTTTTTTGTTTCACCTGAATTGATTTGTATAGAAAATAACCATATACAGTTGTTAAAAAGCGAAAACTTCGACCAACGTTAAATCACCAATAAACGACTTCTATTTATTCAACATTTTATAAAATGCATACTACGTTTAAAAATTTCCAGCTTTACAGTTTCAGGACAGAACAGCCACTCTGTTATGAACATTACAGCTTTTTGAGTGTTGTGATAGCTGCTGTTAACACTAATAACCAGTGTTGAGGAATAACGAGTTACATGTAATGGCATTATGTAATTTAATTACAATATATTTTTTTTTTATTGTAATCCGTTGCAGTGACTATAGAAAAAGGTGTAATTAAATTAGTTACTTATGGAAATATTTATGATTACAATTTTAGTTACATCATAAGATTGTATGTAAAACCTTGCTAATATCTTTAATAACAGTTTTTTATTGCTTTTCATGTTTTTTCTTATGCAAAACATCCTCCTTTGCCATTTCCCTCCGATACATTACGGAAAAGGGCACAAATTTAACTGTGCAATGCAGTGCGTGTTTACCGGCTGTAAAGATATTGTCGACATCTAAACAGTCCATGTCCAACCTAAGGAAACATCTAGAGGTAAGTGCAGCTTATTGTAACTGCAAACAGTCATATTAAACAAAGCAGGGAAGACATGCCTACCTTCAGCGTGCCACACCATGCTTCTAAAGTGTAATGCCCGGTACACACTGCGTGATTTCAGCAAACTTATAAAATCATTACCGATCACACTGCAATACGGATCTGATAATCTTAGCTATGACAGGTATGCAGGGTGTACGACGACAAGACCAACTCAATCATAAGATTGAGCGCATAGGACAACAAAACAAAATGTAAACACTGACAGCATGCGTAAACACTGACAGCATGCGTAAACACTGACAGCATGCGTAAACACTGACAGCATGCGTAAACACCACAATGAACTGCGAAGTGAGTACCGCGCTTTTAAGCCACAGTGACACTTCTGATCCCGTTGACAGAAAATGTTAGCACTCCCAACATGCTATGACGTATTGAGTTTTGCAAATTCACTAACTAGCTAATCCCTGGGCGATGCAGCATTACTACTCTGCTAACCTATTTTATTTTACAGTGCTGCGAAGAAACTGTTTTCGGCTACTCCGTGATTTGTGATTGAAAAATTGACTTAGAGTAAGTGATTACACAATCAGCTGAAATTTCATATCCTGTCTGATGCAAGAACTGTTCAGATCAGAAGTAAAATAGAACCATTTATTTTTGCAAGTATATAAAATTTTTGTATCATAATGTAATTCTGAAGCGTCACAGAGTGGTCAAATCACTCGTAGTTTATCTTGTTCTGACTCCCAAAAAGTTTATATTATGGACACACGTTAGAATTTAATAACTGAAGGCTAAGTTTTAACATTTTTTTTTTTTTTTTACATTTTATGTAACATTAATGTTTTAATGTTATAACTTGTTACACTGAGGGATTCTGAGTTTTCACTGAGTATGAAGCGAGGATCTATTCTTACCCGTTGTTTAAAATCATTATTATGGTATGTTTCGTATCTTTATTAAATTGATCAATTATAATCATGTTAATTCATGTATTGAAAGGAGTTTGACAGTAGTCAGTGTTTAGTACTGCTGTAAGGTAAACACTACCAGGTTTTATTTATAAATGGTTAACGGTTGAGAATACTTTTCTAAATTATGAATGAATAATTAAAAAGTAATCAAGTGTAATCAGTTATATCACTTTCATATAGTAAATGAAAGTTACACTACTATTACATTTTAAATAGAGTAACTTGTAATTGTAACTTTTCCAAAGTAATCTTCCCAACACTGCTAATAACACAATAGCACAAACAAAAGGGCTGCATACACCGAAGTAGTTCTTACTTGTTCATTGGCGTGGGAAAAAGGCGCTTCTAGTGTTATTAGCAGGGTAATAAGCGTTACCTGCAAGATCGCTATTTTTCTTTTTGCTGCAATTGTTTTCATTATTACTTTATTTAACTTGACACATCACATCTTTAAATTCTCATCCTTGCATTAGAACAGTGATTCCCAACCGGGGGTACGCGTACCCCTAGTGGTACGCGAGCACATTACAGGGGGTACGTGGAAAAA